GGGGGTTCGAGAGGGGCCTTGGCATGCTTGTGTAGCTGGCACGCAGACAGGGCCAGCGGGTGGCTGGCGAGGGGCAGTGGCTGTGTGCACAGGGGAGGAGATAGCTGTCTGAGCCCAGGGCGCTGCTCCGAGGGGGCCTCTCCCTGGGCGCCCCGCCCCACCCAGAGGGAATATGTTTGCTCCTTGCCCTGTGCCCTGAGCTCCATGTGGCATCTATGTTTCTTCCATTTAGCCTTTGTTTTCTGGGCGCGATTTTCCTTTTTTACGTCTCATAGGTGGTTAGGTTTAAGCCAGACCCCACCCCGATGTGGCCTCGTTAATACAGAAAGGTCAATCCCATTCCCAAAGGGGATGAGAACTTTCGGTAGAGGGACAAGGATTCTGGCACCAGCCAGCCCCTTACAGGATGGGGCCCTGCTGACCGGTTGCTCTGAGCCCATCTTGACTCCCATAGTCTGTGAGGGTGCTATTTGTCAGCCAGACACCCCCTATGACCTCCAGGTTGTGACAAGACAGTGTTTCTGCAAAGGCCCCTCCCCTACTCTAGTTCTTCATCGTCAGGCCAGGTGACCCCATCCTGCCTGCCAACAAATACTCAGGCGACCCCTGTCTAAGAGGAATCACCCTGGAGAAGCTGCCCCACCCTACCCCTCTCACCCCACCCAGTTTCCACCGAGCAGGCGAGGCCGGTTCTGGGGATGCAGGGCTGGGCTCCCACCCCGAGGGCACTTACTTCAGGAGGTCCTTGTCCCTGTTGAGGTGCTGGAAGAAGGACGGCTCGCAGATGAGCTGGCTCTCCTGACACACCTGCTTGCAGGACGTCCCGGGCTCCGCGAGCTTGACCTGCAGGGCACTGAGTGGCGGCCACATCACCTGCCCGTGGCAGAAGTCCTAGGATGACAAGGAAGCCATCAGCCAAGAACCCAGGATGCGTTTGGACCCCCTGCCCCCATGCCAAGCTACGGTGGCCACCAGGACGCAGGGGTGAGGAAGGAGCCTGCGGTCAGACATGCCGGGGCCACAATCGGGTTCTGCTGAAACAGACAGCTGCCTACCGTGGGAGGCAGCCAGTGGTGCGGGCCCACGGCAGTATTCTAGGGCTCTGATCTCTCAGAAATAGATCGCCAGGCCTTTTCCCCGAGGTGCTTCTGGGTGGGCTAGAACGTATAACCTTATGGTTAATTTGCCCTCAGGTTAACTATTTCCACTGTTCAGGGACCCCCATGCCGGAGTAAAGGGTGGCTGATCATCATCATCTTCACTACCACTGCCCTACCACCATCACTACCACCACCACCACCACCACCACTACCATCACCA